GGGGGGTGGAGGTGCATAGAATTTTTCTCAGACTTTGGCTCAGCTCCAAGTTGGAAGTTTGCATTAGCACACACTTGAATTCTCCTTCCTAAATTAGTTCCACCTTTTTACAGCCTTTCAATATTGCTTGAAGAACTCTGATCTCTAAGTAAATTAACCAAGACCCCTAAAAAAACATGGCAACCAATTATGAAAACAACATAGCAGGTTCCTTTACCTGCTGTGGTGTGCTCCCACGTTTTCTCGTGCACCAGTGCATGTGACTACTGCAAATTAATTTGCACTATAGTGGTGTGATGACAAAAGTGAAAGTGCCTGCCTTTTGTGCCTTACCTTAAACTTAAAAGCGCCTTACCAGCACTACAGAACCAATCGACTTGGCATCATGCCCAGACATTTCTCAGAATTGCAGCTTAATGTCACAGAGTGGAGATGCTGACCCATAATGGCTGATTATACATGCCATCCAATTTACTGATGAATGAAATAGATTCCCATCTACTGTATATGTAAAGTGCTTTGAGATTCTTTTGGATAAATGGTTTTTAGTAAATGCAAGAAATTAATTATTTAATGATATAGGGTCATTATCTGCTTGGCGAAATGTAATCCCTACCTGTGACTGCTCAATGTGATGAAATTTTAAATCCACAAAATAGGGTTTGTAACTCAGGATGGTCACTTGATCACTGTTTTTTTTCCTCTTGTCACCATGAATCCTGTACCAGAAAACCAAGTGAAAATATAATTACAGATAACAAATGGAGGAAACCTGCTTAAAGCAAGATGGGTTCCTGACTGTCATTTTGTTATCAGACTTATCATTATCTCTGTGTTAGGAAATGCTGTGGTGTTTACACAGTTAATGTAAAATTTGGCAGGCTTCTTCACCATGAAACCTTCTGCAGACTTGCACTTCAAATTGCAGCCTTTGTATTACATGCTTCACAAAATGCAGCAGCCAATAGTGCAAACTCTTCTCGATACTGTTTGTGCAGTGAACTCCACTCCTGGTAGAGATTCTACATTCCCCCATAGTT